GATATTTCCTGTAGCACCACTATAGCTATTCTGCAGGAGTAACCTCGTGACTAAGACGTGGGCTGCTTCTGATGTCTTCGGAATCATCTATATTTTAACTGGAGACAGCACACCAGAACTGGGGACTGTGAGTAACAGTGAGATTCCCCACGCAGTGATCACTGCTGACAGAGATAGGAAGATCTCAAGTCACAGCAACTCCAAGCCAAGTAAGCAGGAAAAAACAACATACAGGAAGATTACTGCTACTCATTCAATTCCAGGTTACAGGAACAGCTTTGGAGCTTGGTGTTTCCTATCTTACTGAGCCCAGTGTTAACCAGTGGGATCCCAAATTCAGCAGCTATGGCTTATAAGCTCTTCTGTACGAGAGAGCTGCAGCAGGGCTGCCAGAAGAGGGAATTGCTGCAATATGTTCTCTTCCACGGGAAGTTCACATCTCATTTTAAGAGGGGCCAGACATGCTGTCACTGACAAAAGACAACTCAGATACTTACAGAAATAAATAAAACATTAACTATTGCAGAATTATCAGCTTAACCCACTTATTCCTACAGTAAAAGTGCCATTTACCAACACTCCCAGTGAGACCACAAGCAAGTTTTGTTTTTCTAAAACCAAAGACAAAGGAAGGTTTAACCTCATGACTGTCCTAGAAGATGCCACAAGCTGAAAGGGGCATGAGGACTAAGAAATCTGCAGGCTTTAGGGCTTAAGATCCAGAAACTGCCACAGTGAAATAAGTCAAGGGAAGCGACAGGTTCCTGACCACAGCAAATTCCGTCTACAGCCATAAGAGAGAGCACAGAACCCTACTAAAATTTATAGGTTCATACAGCAAAGCATTTCAGTCCACTAAAGGACATCATGCAAGGAAGCCAAGTGTTTCAACATGAAAACAAGTCTACACCTCGGTTTTCAAACTAGCTTTAGACTACAACAGTGACAAAAGAAAAACTTGTCAGCAATTCACATGTAGACTTTCTGGTGTGGTAATTTGTGAGGAGGTTTTGTCTACTCATTGCTGTAAAGCAGTTTACTGTCCTGAAAGCATCAGAAGAGTGCCTGAAATAAGGCATCTATCAGCTAAAGTCAGACTATTCTATTATAGAACACCTCAGAACACCTTGCAATATGGGCCTTAATTTTGGGGCATTACATTGTTTGTTTAATTTAAAACCAGAAAGTGGTAAAGATCCCCAATAGGAAAGCACAGTCTCACTCAAAACAGAGCAAGGGAAGCACACCTTGGGAAGACAGCAGGTGGTTTAACACTTGTCAGTCACAGACATTCAGACTTGGACTGACTTACTAGCTCATTCCTCCCACCCTTCCACCATGATGGGACTGGCTAGTTTTAAAGTACTAGGAAATTAGGTTATTGTGACAATAAATGCAGACACCCACAGGACTGAGCTTCAGCACTTCAGTGATTCATACTTCTATTTTTGGTAGAAGCAACAAGGAAGAAGTGAGCTTTTCCTCTTACCCACTCTTCTCTGAGCAGCCACAGAACTACCTATGCTTTAACACTTTAAAAGGCCCTAGTGAAGTGTTAGCATGTTCCCTACAGTTCAAAAGTCACCACTCATAACAGGAAGAGCTCCAGAAGCCTGCACATGAGAACCAAACAGGGTTTGTTCCTGAAGTCCTTTGTTGTTACTCAGTTGGCTAGCCAGGCTTAGGTAGGATGGGACCTGAATGCTGTCAGCTCACCAACTCCCAAGACAAATTCCTGAACTTTGGATGTGACCTTATCAAAAACAGTGTTTATTCTGCAGTTACTGCTACAGAATTTAAGGAAGCCTTTGCAACAAAGAATAAGTTTTACACAATGAAACAATGCGCTAAAGGCATTTTGTAATAAGAAACTTCTCACACAGTTCTCCTTATAACCGAGCCCCACCAAGGCTGCTCATTCAGTGTTACTGCTTCCTCACAGACCCCTGCAGGTCAGAAATGAAACTCATGCTCACAAACCTCTCTTTCCATCTCTGCAAATGCAAGATGGAAACACGTGTAGAGCTGCTGAAAACCTGAGTATTGTTTTGAAGTCAGCAGGAGAGCATGAAGAGAGCTACCAAGCAGCTCAGTCCATGAACACCTTGATACACTGCTGACAAAGCTTCATCAGAGACACAAGACCAAATTCAACAGACTAATGCACTTCAATAGCACCAGCAACAGGTACATGATCCACAGCTGAAACAACAGCAGCTGCAAGACTGTCTTAGGCAAGAATACCATTTGTCAAGATAAAAGGATGTTACAAAATGACGACCTGGTAGTCCTTATTCCACAAAAATTACTCTTACTCATAAGACTGGTGCTATTTTTATATTGCACCAGCAAGATGTGGCCCATGCAACCCCTTCCTGGAACAGGTCTTCCCCTTTCTAGCAAAGAAAAAGCAGTAAATTGAGCATAAGGTGAAGCTTTTCAGTGGTCCATGCACCTGCACTTGTCTGCCAGAGCGATCAGGAGCTTTAACTGTAATTTCTGGAATACGAATGAGGCAAAAGAAAAGAAAGAAAACCAAGTTACACCACAATCTTGAATGCAAAGAACTTCCACGGCGAAAATGGCTTTTTGCGAAATACCTTTTCAGGATGCGTTTTCAAGTTTAAGTGCACTTAAATCCCTGTCAGGACGGGTTGTAACGCTGACTTACACAATTCCCCAAGAAACGTTGGCCAGCTTTAAGCAGCGCAACTCGCAAGTCCCAAACCACCACACGAGAGGAAGACGCATTCAAAGACACACGTTATTACACACCGTTCCTCCGTCCCTCCACACGCAGCTCCCTCCGCAGCGGCCGGACACACACACACCGGCACCAGAGCTCACACAACGAGCGGTGCAGCCGCCCCTCTGCGGCCTACAGCAGGGCAACACCTTCCGCCGCAGCAGCAGCAGCGCCCAGCCCTCAGCACCTCAGCAGCCCGGGCAGCCCCGCCCGCCTTCCCGGTTCCTCACCGCTGCCGCCAGCCCCGCCAGGCCCTGGCCCAGCGCTGCGCTCCCCTCACCGGCTCCGGGCGGTTTCCTCCGCCGGGGTCCCAGCCGCGGACCGCCAGCCTCCTGCGGCACCACTGCTGCACAGCACCGGACCCGGGCGGGGCCCTCTCCCCTCACAGCGCCGCGCCGCGCCCCGCCACCCTCCCACGGCCCAGCCCGGCCACCTCACCGTGGTCCTGGTTGAAGCCGGCGTAGAGCAGCCCATTGCCGTGAGGGTTGGCCGGGAGCAGGTTCATGGCTGTTGCCCGTTCGCGTCCGCCCGCCGTCCTTTAAACCATGGCGGCGCCCGCCCGCCTCAGCCCCGCCGCGGGAGCCCGCCGAGCCGAGCCGGGCCGAACCGAGCCGAGCGGAGCCGAGGCAGACAGGCCGGCGGCTGCTTCCGACCCCAGCAGGCAGCGCCGTCGAACGCCGAGGACATCCACCGGCAGCGTGAGGAGCGCCGAGCGATCGAGCGGCGCCACGCCCCGCCCCTGCGGCCGGGCACGGAATGGCGGCGGGGGCGCCCGAGGGCAGTCCGGTTCCGTGCGGGGCTGCGGAGCCCTGCTCCTTACCGGGAGCACCCCCTCACACCGCGGGCTTCTCAACCCAGGGCTGCAGCCTTGGAACCGGGGTGGGGATCCCAGGCTGGTACCACCGCACAGGACCCTGCCGCCCATGGGCTCCCTCCAGCTGTAGAGGGGCGGGTGGTAAGCAAGCTCTCCCATGCAGGGCACACCGAGTATGTCACTGGTAAAACCACGAAATATAGCGAGAATATGTGAAAATAGTTGATGCTTTAACGTGGAAATGCAACTTGAGGGGAAATCAACAGTGAAGTTACTTCAATCAAGATGATGGACTCAATGGGCTGTTGAGGTCCCTTCAAACTTACGTTACCTCATGGCTTTGTGTGTGCTTGCCAGTGTGTGCCAGTGATCCCATGTCCTAATATATATATATAAATATATGTAATATATAATGATGCATATTACATTGTATATATATTTCTATATGTAAAACATACATTTATATATATATATAAATAAAATAATGACAAAGCTTCACCAGAATCGAGGAGTGCCACCAGCCTCTCCTTACTCTGTCTTTATACTGGCTGGCAGAAGGAATAGAGCATCTGACCTTGAGAACGCACACATCCATATTAACATTCTCTCTCCCTAGGCATTCTTGCTGCGTGTCACATACAGAAAGGAAAGAAACCAATGACCCGGTGACTGAAGTGGCCAAGATCATAACGTGGAAGAAACTTGGCACAGCATAGCCACATGCACGGAGAGAGCTCTTCATCCTGCACGCAGCCACTTGTCACACACACATAACCAGCCTGGTCCTGCGGTTTGGAGGTCCTGATGCTGGTTTAACCTCTTGGAGCCGGAGGCTGCTACACACACCTGTCCTCAACGTGTGCAGATGCAATCGCTGCAGTCTGAGAGCTTCACCCCTGCAGCCCACTCGCCGCAGGCAGACCAGGAGGTGGAGCCTGCTGCTCGCCGAGGGAGCCCCGACAGGGATTCCTCCACCGCGCGTTGCCGCTTACGGCTTTAACTACGAGGAGCCTTGTTCCCCATTGCGCTTTTAAAGCAATGATGCACGGACTGGTCCCGGTCCTGGCGTAAATGGCACTTTACTGGCTTGAATCTTCCCTACTCGCCTACAGAGGCTGATCCTGAAGGAATAAGAGCTCCATGTATCACGCAGTAGTGAAGACACACCTAGGGGAAACTGGGATGAAGCTACACCATCACCTCAAAAGCCTTGCTACTAAGGAGAACAAATCACACAATTCCTTCACCAGTGGAAGGCTTAATGTACCTTATTCTTCCCTATTTCTGTTAACATTACTGAAGACAGATTTATATGAAAAGCATTACATGAAGCTTTTAGGATGACTTCACAGTCCTGGTGTCTAGTTCAGGCATATTGTTCTTCAAATTCTTACAAAGGAATATAAAGAACCCTCCCCAGTTACAGACATCATTATAGGATTTCTTTTCCAGAACCATTTATTTACTTTTTAAATACTATTCTTTCCTTATAAAGCAGCTCTTCAAGTCATGTTCCTTTTTACCACAGTCTTTGGCATTTTCCTCTTAGAACCTTCTTGGAGAGTGGTATAAAATGTAAATTTTAATTCTTTTTTTTTTTTTTACAGAAAAATAAGTATTTAAACCACAAATTAATGCCCCAAAATATTAAATAACATACCAAAAACTTTATCAAATCTATTACATACACCAATGGGACAAAACCTGGTTGTGTATGTGCATAATAATTATATGTACATTTTTACCTTAGTTAAGTTAGTGCTTCAAAGTTACCAAGGAAGCTACACAAAAAATCCAAATGCACCACTGCAGCACTACTGGAATTTGTCACACTATGTGGAGAACTGAACAATGTATACAATACATTGCCTTTAAAAACCCCTGCCTGGAAACGCAGGTGAGTCATCTTTACACTCCTGAACAGTTTGCAGAAAGACAGGGTTTTATACAATTATGCAATCACTTTCCAGATTTCATGGAATTAAGAACTGAATGATGATGATAATTATCCCCTATACAAAAACGCATCTACTAGTAAAAACAATGGCATCATGCACATCAGAAACTCAAACGCAGTATGAAAATCCAACGGCAAAATGTCACGTCCTTTCAGGTGCACTGAACATGTCACTTATTCCAAAGCAGCATTACTGCAATGAGCAAGCTCTAAGGACTTATTCTTCTCATTTTTTGTCTATGTAGTGAGATACGTACATAGAATGTGCGCAACCATTAAGCAAGGATTCTTTGTGTTTTGTGTTCAATGCTTCACACGAGGAGGTTCCATCCAGGTTCCCTTTTTCCACAAAGAGATTAAGAGATTTTACAGCTGTTTCTTGTACAGTTTTTTGGTAGGCTCTGCGGTGGACGGGTGATTTTGGCTTTCTTTAAGCTGTTCCTTTTATTGATGTTGCTGGATGTGAGGGAGTACGAGCGTCCATGCATCATCCTGGCATTAAGGCCATTTGCCATGGAGAAAGATTTGAGATGGCTTCTTAAGGCAACAGGGAGAGGGAGCTTGTCAACAAGATGCACAGGGGTACAGGAAACTACGGCACGGCAACAAAGGTCTTGCAGGCTCAGTACTTAAAAACAGACATAAAACTTGCATTATAATAGCACGCTTTTGTCAGCCATGAGGCAGTAGCACACCCAGCACTCTGCATGCACTCTGTACTTCCAGGATGAATTCTCATCTCTCCTCCCACACCCTTTCCCACATATATATTATCCCAAATACCTCTTGCTTCAGTTTCCTACTTATGTCTTAATACCGAGCTGACTGAACATGTCAGTCCTAGAAACAATACACTATTCCCTACAAAGGCAGAACAGGTTGTGCATACAGATACATATTTTCTGTTTAGTACAGGATTCCCAATTCTTCTTTCGTGTTTCTGCATCTGGGTTAAAGTTTCTGAAAATTCTTTCATATTAATGCACCACAAACCTTAGCTTGGACTAAACGCATACATCTTCAGTGTGTGTGGCTTACCCTTGTTTGGCCTCCAGAGCCTGTCCATTCCATGTCTCATCAACACTGTTCTTGCTAGCTCAGTAAAGGACTCTGTAATATTGAAATTACAAAGTGGACTGACTTCAAAAAAAGTCATGCCCAGCCTCTCAGCATAGGCTTGTGCTTGTTCAGTGGACACCTGGCGCTTGAAGGCTAAGTGAAGGCGATTTCCAACCAGGATTTTTGGTACACCAGGAGCATGCTGAGCAAAGAGAAGCAAGAGAAAGATTAACAGTTTGGCTTCCATTTCCACCTTCATTAAAACAAGCAAAAGCTTTGTCAAGACTAAATACTAAGGTCTAGTCTAAGACCTAGAGAACTGGTCTTAGATCTGCAGAGGTCCTTTCCAGCTTATTCTATGATTCTCTGATCTAAAAACATCCCTTCCTTGGAGAAGACAGGCTGGCACAGATGATGCGGCAAATCTATAGCAAGAGTGGGACTACAATATGAATTCTTTGCCCTCCATATGCTTTCCATCAACACCTTTAAAGAAATCAGACAGTCTAGCTGTTATGTTTCCAACTTTTCAGAATTATAAACATAGAATTGTAAACTTGGCATCTTGGATAGCTCTGTAGCAAGCGCTGCCTGCAAATGCCAGTAAAAACAGTAGAAAATATAAGCAGTCTTAGTCATCTGTACCTTACCTCATCTATTTCTTTTATCCATCGATTGATTCCGCCAAATGACCAACGATTTGTAATATCATACACTAGTATAACTCCCTGTATTAAAAAGAATGAGTTAAAAAACATCAGTTTAAGAGAGGCACAACACAGATAAACACATATCTGTAAATCCTTCAGTTCTGAAATGATCTTGTAAGATGCTGCTCAACTTTTCAGTGGAGCAGAACCTCAGCATCCTGTGAAACCAAGCCCCATCTCTGTGTAGATTAAGTCAGAAACCCTGACTTAGCTGTAGGGTCTAATGTAAAGGTGTTTGTTTTTATAGTGGAGAAGCTGCATCACACACGCATCAGAAGTCGTAGCAAAAATGTACTTTTGGTCACATTCAGTAACTTGAAGATTCAATGCTCCGTGCAATTCTGGAACGTAAGATGCAACTCAGCAGAACCAGTATGTGTCATGAACTATTGCAATACTTTAAACTCTGATGCTGTGGGCACTTTTAGTGTGCCTGTTCTTTTTTCTTCTTTTTTTTAAAGTAATTTCCCTACAAATCATTACATTTCATCACATTTTCGACTATGTCTTTTTCACATTACTCTTTCCAGTCGTATGGTATATTTCTCTCACTTGGAACTGAGTTTTAAACAGTAGTATTAGCATAGGTTTCACATGATCCAAGTACAATATGTGCTTAAAGTTATTGAGGTAACCAACAAGAAGGCATAAGAATATGCATTACTGTATTTTAGTGATTCAACCCCAATCTCATGTATTTCCCCTCCCCAAACTAAAGTCCCATGCCTTATTATTCCCCATGTTCCATGTTATCTTCAGAGTATTACTGCACCTGCATGCGATCTGCAACTGAGTTACAGAAGCCATCAGGATGGTTCACCAGCTCTTTCACTCACCCAGCAACCATTACTCAACACTGAGAAAGCTGCATTTTGCTTACCTGAGCACCTCGTGAGTAAGACCGAAATATGGTGCAGAATCTCCCTTGCCCCGATGTATCCCTAAATAAAACAAATTAGATATATTTTTAAAAGAAGAAGTGGCCTCCTGTGTTAAGAGTCAGGGGTAACGGGTTCAAACTTAACCAGGGGAAGTTTAGGTTGGATATAAGGAGGAAATTCTTTCCTGTTAGGGTGGTGAGGCACTGGAATGGGTTGTCCAGGGAGGTTGTGAATGCTCCATCCCTGGCAGTGTTCAAGGCCAGGCTGGATGAGGCCTTGGGTGATATGGTTTAGTGTGAGGTGTCCCTGACTATGGCAGGGGGATTGGAACTTGATGATCTTAAGGTCCTTTCCAACCCTAACTATTCTATGATTCTACAGTAACTCATCCGTACCAGTCACTATCAGCTCTTCTTCCATGAGTCAGGCAGCAGCAGTCACTCATGCACAAAGAGCTCCTCTCCCTCTCAGCAGTTTTTCCCCACTGGCATTCTGCCCTTTCCTCTATATTTCTCAGATTTCCCAACGTAAGAGGACAAGAACTTCAAACTTTACTCTTGTGATTGCCCTTGGAACACAAAGGCTGTTGCACTAGTGTTCATATGCCACTACACTTTGCATTTAGTTCAGCTAGATGAAAGATTCGGTTTTCACAGCAAAGTGGGAGGAAACAATACTTATCACCAAGGAAACTAATGGAAAACCCAGTAAATTCTTGGTTACAGCAGGAATTGTTCATCACGAATCTAGTATGATGAAGGTATCCCTACAGAGTCATAGCACAGTGTTTTAGAAAAGCATGCACACACACACATACAATAATCTGCATAAAGTGCTTGGAAGCAAAGTCAAGTTTATAGTGAAGAACATGGTAAGAAGCAAAATTCCATAGACTTTTTTGTGACAGATTACAGATCTTCAAATGCAGGGCCCATATTTCTGTATATGGTCAACGGCAGAAACATTTGCAATCTGTTATTTTAAGGAGCTCAAAGAATATCCTTGCCCTTCAGAAAAAGAATAAAACCATCTCCTTCCTGGCTGCTTCTCAGCAGAAAGTACCACACAAAGCTTATCTAAGCTATATAAAGTGGAAGACAGAAGAAGAAAATAAAGTAGGTGAACAAAATATCAAGTAATGGAGATAGCATATGGCAAAGTATTATTATCCATTACTGCATTTAACACTGGAAACATCACTTTGAAAATCATAAAAGCAGAAGCAACCAATGAAAAATAAATTAACAATAGCTTAGTTTTGACACACAGGTGTTTAACTGCAATAACTAAAACCAAAGATAAACATCAGAACTAAATTCAAGATAGAAATGGCCCAGGATTATATCTTTCTAGGAGGAAAAGGATATAGTCCTCGTAATTCATTTTCACCTCCAACTCTCTATCTGAACACTGCTTGTTCCTAGAACCTGTCTCTCTGATTTATCTAGATTGTGGTTCCTCAAAAAATCACGCTCCATCTCCTTCTCCTGCACTGGCCTTACTTCTCCCCCTGTTATGCCATGAATTTAAGGAAAGAGGGAAACAATGTCTATTTAAGAGGCAGTAACATTGCTGCATACTTCGAGTTGTATCGTTCACTGTTTTTCACTGAACCAGAAGATGCCATCTTCAAACAACCAGACTCAAAAGCACCCTGCCACACCAAACATTTGACCCTACAGGAAAAACATTTGCTATAAAAGAATATTATTCGTTATCAACATGTTTTGTAAGGATTCAATCATATCAGACTGCGTATCAATTCCACTATGAGCAATAATGCTGCTTTTTATTGATACTGAATGTATTTTAATAATACTATGGTTATTTAGTTGACTGTTAACTGCTAATAGTCTGAGCAAAGGGATGCTGCTGTACAACATTGTGTGCTGAGGTACTGTCATGGTTCTTATTAGCAGAGTATGGAGGCCAAGACAAAGTGTAACTTACTCAAAGGGCTACCTGCCTGGCTCATTCTTCCATGACTGACTTATTTCTGAAGCATAAAGGAGAACTGCTGCCTTGAACAGTTGCATTTTGGTGTCTTCGGGCTATAAACACTGAGGGAAGGTGGAGCACACACTTACCAGAGCTGCAGCTTGATTCGTCGGCCATCTAGAAGTATCATTGTAGTCTTATAATCTATACCTGTGGGGAAGAAAGTCAGACAACCCTTAGAGCAGCCTGCAGGTGTACAGTATACACACAGTTACAGATTTCAAAGCAGCTGACCTTAAAAAAAAGGGATTTGTCATTAGTACGCTGTGAAGTGCATATGGATAAGAACAATTTGTTCACATAAGGTTACAAAGACCTTTCATTGGTCCATTCAGAGAGGATGTCTCAGGCTCCCTTCAGGTTGATTAAATGGTCTGTTTTATTCATTATCATGACAATACAGATGCTTAAAGAGTTCTTCTTCTTCTTCAACAAAAGAAGGCAGAACTAGGATTTTTTGCCTTTTCTCTCATATATCACAGACTAAATGCTGTTCTCTTCCTCTGTTCCCTAGCTTTACTGCCTCTATTATTTCTTCCTTCCTTATCATCTCTGACTCATAGACAGCTCTTGTATCAGATACATGAGTCCCCCTCTTATATAAAGCAGCAGATGGTGCAAGAATTGGCTGATCTTTTGTCTTCCAACCGGTAATAGCCTTCTCTGCCCAGACCACTTACACAGTCAGCATCCACCAGAATGCAGGCAAGTCCCATTCATTCCTTCCCATAACATGGCCAGGCCTTGTGATCAAGCTACAATATCTCCTTTATATGAGCTGAAGAAGCACTGCAGTGTTTAAGGGAAGTATGTATTGTAGGTATACTTAGACATGTATGCACATGCACACGTATAACTTAGCTCACATCTTTATTGCACCTTCTGTAGTTTTTGCAAGGAACCTTCCATGCTACCTAATATAATTTCTACTGCTAAGCTGACCTGCCCCAGGGAGTAACTCAGCTGTGTAATAATAAGCTCAAGTCTAGCATTAGTGTTTTCTTGGTCAAAACGGGTGGGTTAGTTTCAGTTAGGTTTAGTAAAACCCCAAACTGGAAGCAGTTGTGTAGCTGCAGCTGACCCCTGGAAATGCCCACTACGATGTTAGGGTCATTGGCTTACGGCCGCTGTGCTTCAGTTCTGCACCCACAAATTGTATAATTATAAACATTAAAAGAAAGGCTTTTCTTTTGTTCACTGTTATTTTAAAAGCGTGCATTCAGTAGTCACACCGCGCAGCCAAGCAACAGTTTCACTGGTAAATGTGTTTTTTCTCATGTTTTCTTTGCTGTGTCATAGTCAGCTTCTTGAATTGAACATTCAGTCACAGAGTCCTCCAGTAAACTGTAAAAAGCATGGAACTATCTCTGAAAAACGTTCTGAAATGTAATGAGTATTGTACCTTGAAAGAGAGAGACATGCTCTGTTTTCTCAGCATAAGCAAAACAAGGGAGTAAGAAAACCACATTGACATGGAAAACCAAGTGCATGCAGAAGAGGGCCCTAACTGCTACCAGAGGAACAGGGATGACAGTGCTGATGATGCTCCTGTAAGTGTCATTTAATTCAGGCTCTTATCTTGGAAAGACACACAGACAAAACCCCTACCCCAGTGTATTACCACCAGTTTTGGGAGACTTATTTTAATTTGCCATCTAGAGTGTTCCAGTTCTCCATCACTCTCAGGAAATAGTCAAATCCACAAACCACAAATTAAAATAAGTATTAATAACAATTAAAACCCCCCAAACATCCACACAACACAGCCATCCAAACCTATAGACGAAGTCCTGGGACACTGAGCAGATGATACTGAAACTGGTTTTGTGCTGAAAGAACAAGTTCCATAATTTCAGAAATTCTTGGAAACATAAAACATGCAAAACAAACCCTGCCTAACATCACATAACTCATTCCCACATCCCGTGCTACCACTGCTATTTCTCATAGGGTGAAATACCTCCACTAGCTTATCTAGAGTTCATGAAGAGGCACAGACCATGTTTAGCAAACGCTGACACATCCCACACAGTAAATGGACATCCATCATCCTCTTAAAAGACATACCAAGCATAGAAAATTAGCACTGCATAGCTAGAGGATACACAGCTGAATAAACCCACTACTGTGCTTTGCACCACAGACCATAAACTACTGCAAATTTAGCTACACACATAATGCAAAATACTACTTTTATATGACATGCACAAGATAAATCTGACAAATTCACGGCTACCAGCTGCTGTTTATGAAAGCATCTTATGGGTTTCTCAAAACAATTTTGAAGAGATGGGTTCAGAAACTTCCTTATTCTTCAGCTGCCATGCAGATAGAAGCAGTTGATAAAGATAACCTGAACACCTCTGCAATTAGCATTTGCTATGATTAAGAATCAAAACAAAAAGCCTTTTGCCATGACTCATCAGGAACAGCATGAAACCATAACAATGAGACCAACAGATGTGAATTGTGCTGTTGTAGAAATCAAATGTCCTTCCAGAACATTATTCACTCATTTAGCAAGACAGAATAGCTTTGTTTGGGTACACAACTAAAATGTATTGCTACACAAGAAAGAGAAGAAAAAAAGCTGCTAAATACATAAAAAATCAACTTTGAAGTAAACCAGAAAAACCTCCCAGTGTTTAATGCTTTCACATGGATGCTTTTAAGTCACGATCATTTACCTAAAGCCACAAATTGAAATGAAAGCACCTGGAACAAGTCACTAGCCCTGCTGAAGGGTTTGGATTGCTTGAATCTAACTGGTTTGTAATAGATTTTGTCCTTCTCAAACACAAAAGTAACAGGTAGAAAACACAGAGAAATATTATTGAACCCAGGAATGCGGCAAGATTCCCCAAAAAGCATTCAGCTGTTTGGCAACAACTGCAGTAAGCAGGATGCCATCCTCTCTGCATCGATGCTGTGCAGCCATTACCACACTACTATCCCTTACGCCTCACTGACCACTCTGCAGCCATGTTCACAGTATCACAGTATCACAGTAGGTTAGAGATTGGAAGGGACCTCAAAAGATCATCTAGTCCAATCCCCCTGCCGGAGCAGGAACACCTAGATAAGGTTACACAGGAACGTGTCCAGGCGGGTCTTGAATGTCTCCAAAGAAGGAGATTCCACAATGGGCACCTGTTCCAGTGTTCCGTCACCCTCACTGAGAAGAAGTTTCTTCTCAGGTTTAAGTGGAACCTCTTGTGCTCCAATTTGTATCCATTACCCCTTGTCCTTTCATTGTTTGCCACTGAGAAGAGCCTGGCTCCATCCTCGTGACACTCCCCTTTATATATTTATATACACTAATAAGGTCACCCCTCAATCTCCTCTTCTCCAAACTGTAGAGACCCAGCTCCCTCAGTCTTTCCTCATAAGGGAGATGCTCCACTCCCTTAATCATCTTAGTTGCCCTGCGCTGGACTCTCTCCAGCAGGTCCCTGTCCTTTTTAAACTGAGGGCCCCAGAACTGGACACAATATTCCAGATGAGGTCTCACCAGGGCCGAGTAGAGGGGAAGGAGGACCTCTCTCGACCTACTAACCACCCCCCTTCTAATACACCCCAGGATGCCATTGGCCTTCTTGGCCACAAGGGCACAGTGTCGGCTCATGGTCACCCTGTCGTCCACCAGGACCCCCAGGTCCCTCTCCCCTACACTGCTCTCTAACAGGTCGTTCCCCAGCCTATACTGGAACCTGGGGTTGTTCCTGCCCAGATGCAGGACTCTACACTTTCCCTTGTTATATTTCATCAAGTTATTCCCCGCCCAGCTCTCCAGCCTGTCCAGGTCCCTCTGGATGGCAGCACAGCCTTCTGGCGTGTCGGCCACCCCTCCCAGCTTAGTGTCATCAGCAAACTTGCTGATAGTACACTCAATTCCCTCATCTAAATCGTTAATGAATATATTAAATAATACTGGTCCCAGTACCGACCCTTGAGGCACTCCACTAGATACAGGCCTCCAACTAGACTCCGCCCCATAGACTACAACTCCGCCCCATAGACTACATGTTACAATGGTCATTTTAATGCTTCCTATGAATTTCTGTTTCTCCTACAGTAGGGTATCAAAGTTTCTGGGTTTTCTGATGGGTTTCTCTAGGGCAGAATCCTTCAGTCATTTAAGTCGCTCATTTTGTGTTCCTCCAAAGGCAACATTATTTACACCAAAAATCTTTTCAGTTTAATATTGAGATTCAATGATCTACAGTGCGACTGACAGCCATTTAGGTTTGCAGCAGTGAAAACACACTGACTCACTTAAACCAAATCTGAAGCACTGGACTGCAGACCAAACAGCAGTCATACCTTGGTAATACGACATAGAATAAAATCCTCCTATTTTTTTCCTCAGGAATTGGATGCTAGCCCAATATTTCAATGATTTGGAGGTTGTTCTGCATTTGTTTTGGGTGTGTATTTCAACTTCAGTAAGCTATAGCAGAGGGGAGAAAGAAAAACAGGGGGAAAACAACCAAGAATGGCAAAACTAGATTCTTTGGTGCTGTGCTTTACCAACTCAGCTCTGGAAGATTTTATTCAGTGGCACATTTGTCTTAGAAATGCTCCAAACCCCAACCCTTTTTATACCTGAGAAAGTGCAGAATACACGACTTCAGTTTTGAACCTGGGGTATTTATTTTAGCTCATAAATACCACAAGAACTGGTTTCATTGTTTTTATTTATTCTTCTTGATGTGTCCTCTCTTTACATTTTGAGGCACGTTGCTCCTTGGAGGTGATTGATGCTAGATTAGCAGCTCTCAGATTTAATTAAAACACAATCTAACTACTTCAAAATAAACACTACTAATAATAGTACATTCCAGCTCCCTACCTCCATAGCCTGACTGCTTTCCAGACATTTCAAGGCTAAAGCCTTCTCCAGCAATCATTTACTCCACCAATTTGCCCATATTAACAATTCAGTAATACTTTTCTCAGACACATACTTAATGTCTCCTTCCTTATGTCTGTTTCTATGCCAATAATTAAGTGTCTAAAAATAAATATATATATATTCAGTGGGATTCTGGGCCTGTATTCAACAAAGTCCACCAAAACCATCCTTCAGGTTCAAAGGCTGTTGACTACACTTTGAAAAAGCAGTTTTCAGTTTCAGAGTGCTTAAAACC